AATATTCTGTTCTTGTATTGAATTTCTGGAATTTTTATTATTATATGCCTGGGTGTTGCTCTGTTTGGGTTGTAGGTAGCTGGGGTCCTGTATGCCTCATACATCTGAGTATCTTTACCTTTTGCTAAATTAGGAAAATTTTCCTGGATTATTTCTGTGAGTAGGTTTTATAGTTCATTTGTTTGTGTCCCTACTTCTTCTTTTATGTTCTTAATCCTTAAGTTATGAATCCTCTTATCATCTTCTTGTCTTTGTATTATTGCTGTTTGTTTCCTTGCTATTTTTAAGAAGTTTTTCATTTCATTCTCCCATATTACAATTCTGCCCTCCAGTTCAGATAGTCTGTCCTTAGTTTCTTTCAAGCTGTTATGCCAGTCTTCGATAGACTTCTTAGTTTCTTGGTAGTCCCTTTGAACCTGCTTCACGTATTCTATGTTTTCCCTGTTTTCTCCATCAAACAATTCTCCCCTCTTTTTCTGTTCTTCCATTCCACCATCTGTTTTTTCTTGGGTGGGGCTTAGCATTTCTCTAACTATTCTGCATACTTCTAGCTTCAGGTCGTTGATAACTTCATTCCTGAATTGGTCTATGAGGCTCTCTATATGGTGCTTTATGTGTATTGGTGCGGTGTCCGCTATTGCCTGTTTCTCAGAATTGGGGGCCGAGGAGCCTTTCTTGTTGCTGCCTCTTCCCATATTCTCTGTTCCTTATATATGCAAGCTTATATGAGAGGCCCAGCTTCTCTCCCTGTCAGCCACAGCCTGATCGAATTGCGCCGGTTAGGTGTTCCCACTCACCGCTGCGCACCAGGCAGCCTACGCGGGGGCCCGCCCCTCCCGGCCTCCGTCAGGCTCTGCGATCTGGGTTGGGCCAGCCTACGGGGTCCGCCGGCAGCATCACGCAGGCCAGGCACTTCTCACCAATCCCGCCCGAGAGGGGAATGTGTGGCTGGAGTCCCCACCACGCCCTGCTCCCGCAGGACTGCTCGGGCCCAGAAAGTCCGCTGGAGTCAAACTGTGGTGGAGTGTCAGTTTCTCTCACTCACCTCGCCACAAGTCAGAACATGCCTCCCTGCCCGTCCTGTTTTCGACTCCATTCGCAGACTCCCGTTCTCAGAGTTTCCGTGCGTCTCTCTCCTTGCCGAGCTGATGTAGAGGCAGCCAGCCACCGTGCGGCGGGAAACCCAAATCACGGCTTCCAATGGCGCAGGGTCCAGCCTCAGCAGCGAGACTTTTCTGTTCTTGTTTTAGCACCAGGACTGCATTCCAAGTTGGTTTCTCTCAGCCGAGTTCGTTCCTGAGTCAGCAGAGCATAACTCCACCTGCTTATGTCTCTTTAGTCCGCACCATACCTGGCTTCTGAGCCTAGTTTTTCAGAGAGCCTCCGGTAGTTGCTGTTATCTGTCCGCCATGTTCTCCCGGAAGTCCTCTGTTTGATTTTCACTATGTCTGAAAGTATCTGCAGCTATTTTGAAGACAAGAGGCATTAAGGTAACTATTGTTGATTTTATATTGTTTTGAAGTCCTGTATCACTTGCACTGGTTTGTTTTGATTGGTTTTATTCTGTTTTATTTTCCTTGGTTTTATCCTCTTTAAACATAAATAAAAATAGAAAAAATTAGAAAAAGCTTTTAACTCGATTAAAAAAAAAAGAGCGAGACTATGAGGTAGGGATGTGGCTCAGTGGTAGAGCTCTTGCCTGTCAAGCATAAGGCCCTGAATTGATTCTCCAGCACAAGACAGACAGACAGACAGACAGACAGACAGACAGAAAGAAAGGGGAAAAGGGGGAAGGAGGAAAGGAAAGGAGAGGAGGGGAGGGAAAGGGAAAGGAAGGGAAGGGAAGGGAAGGGAAGGGAAGGGAAGGGAAGGGAAGATAAGGGGAGGGGAGGGAAGGGAAGGGAAGGGAAGGGAAGGGAAGGGAAGGGAAGGGAAGGGGAGGGGAGGGGAGGGGAGGGGAGGGGAGGGGAGGGAAGGGAAGGGAAGGGAAGGGAAGGGAAGGGAGGGAAGGGAAGAGACTGCCATTGGCCTGTTGGGAATGGGAGGGTTGTCTGACTGGGAGAAACCACACCAGAGCATGGCTTTGTGTAGATGCCTGCAGCAAGCAGCTCTACTGAGGAAGATGAAAAGTTCAACAACAGTTCAGGGATGTTAAGAAGTGGAACCAAGGCACTGGCTGTGCAAACAGGTGGTAAACACACAGAAAAGGAAGGTCAGTTACAACTTGGTGGTTCTCTGGCAGAGATGGGTGCAGCCAGGAAGGCGAGACAGTGACAGACAGAGAACCAGAGCATGGAGAAGAGGGATGGCTCCTGTGAGATCAGAAGTGACGTCACGTGGAAGGACAGGAGCGAGGGTTGATGTAGAGGGCAAAGAATAGTGTCACTGCCACCCACAACAGAGACAAGCACTGTGAGCTGAAGATCAGGCAAAGGCTTTGGAGAGGAAGCAGGAGGTGTACATCAGAATGCATCAGACACAGGAGACTGGGAAAGAACAGGGTGGAAAAGAAGTTCAGAAAAAGAGCCAGACAGAGTGCCCTGGATTAAGGAGAGGCTTAAACACAGGCAAGAAAAGTACACTTGAAGAGGACAATGGAGAAATGATGCAGCGTATGTTTAACTGTTCAAGGCTTACTGTAAATATCTTTCAAATGGGCTTTTCTAGCCATCTGTCACCAGGTAATATAGGTAAATGTCAATAATTCATTCTGAAATTGAATATAGTGTTGGTTTATAATCTTACAACATAAAAGGACAATATCATTTACCAGCAAATGTTGAAAACAAGCATCTACTAACCAAGGTTTAATTTCCAAATCCTCAGGACCCAAGTGTTTGCCTTTGTATTGTGTGGTGTGGCCTGGCTCCCAGGGGACTCCCTCTAATCTTCAAAGCTGGCCACGTGTGTTCCCAGCAGCCAGCAGGGTTGTGGGAAAGCCTGATGGAAGAAGTGATATCTTAACAACCCAGGCTGAATCAAGAACTCTGGAATGCACAACTAGAAGTAAAAGGCCAGGTAAAAAGCACTAAACCTATTTAAATGCAGCATTAGGCCAAATAACTGGGAAAATTAAGGTTTCAGAACTGGAGGTCAGATTGTTAAGCTTTAACAAAATAAAAATGGTAAGGGCCAATGAACCTGGAGGCAGGGAAGGAGACATGATAGATACAAAGAATACAAATCTCATCCCTCAAAATAAGTGAATTAATATTGGCATTTGTCTAAAGTGGAAATATGACTAACAAGAAGCAATTCAATTTTTTCCCCTTAATCTTAAGAGATCTTCTGGGAGCTTATATTTTTTTGTGATAAAGAAACAATGATTTCCAGATCAACAATTCCGGTTTCATTTAGTTCCTCTTTCCTAGTTCAAAAATTTACACTGTACATAATTTACTTTTACAAAAGTAATGTGTAATATAACTCCTTTTCTTCCTATGGATCTATCAGCTTTCCAAGTAACTGATTTGGCATGAAGTCTGGATTGCAGAACACCAAATGTTTATGACTATTTCTAGAGAGTGAGATTCCGAAAAAATTTGTTGCATTTTTTTCTTTATACTTTCCTATATGCTTGAGTTCCTGAGAATTAATGAATAAAAAAAGATTTTATATAAATATATATATATATATATATATATATGCATATATATCTGTCATTCTTTTCAAAAAACCAGAATCACAGAAAGGAAGGAAACTACCTGTTAAGCACTCTGTACTAAATACTCTGTACTAAATTCTATCACCTACAAAATCTCAATTAATCTTCATCAACCTTCATGATGATCAGTACTGCACTGTCATGTTAAAGATGTAGAAGCAGAGATTTACAGAAGGAGTAACTTCCATCTTGCCATTCAGCAAGACCACATACAGGTATTGACCAAGAACTGACTGACCACCCCGCCCCCTTATCAGCTCTGCCGCAGCGCTCCTCCAGTCTTACCCCTCCCTTCCATGCTAGTAATGCAAAATCTGACTGAATCTGCCCCATAGCATTTCACAAAGAGTCATGATTACAAAATTTCAGGGTTAGAAAGAACCTCAAATTTTTGTAGTAAACTGAGTCATTTTATGAATGCAGATTCTGAGGCCCAGAGAGAGGATGAGATTTAACCAAAATCATACAGTGGGCTGATTCCTAGCCTGGTATGCTTTCTTGAAGTCAGCAGAAAAGCAAAGACTGTAATTATGCCATATAAGTTCTTGCTGCTTCTGAAAAGGATCTGATAGGTATTAAAGGTCCATAACTGGATCTTTCCCCCAAAAGATTATCTTCCAAAAGAGAGATCCCAATCAACTTGGGGAGTTGATAACACAATCAACTGGGAGCTGTCCCACTTCATAATCCAAAAAAAAAAAAATGAAGAGACTAGAAAGACAGAGGAAGTAGAGAACATATGGCTAAACAACACCTCAAAAAAGTGTCAGGACATACAGAAAAGAAAAAGGGCACAAGGCAAGGATGTGAGATGACTCCAAAATAGCTAATAGCAAAGGCAATGAGGAAAGAAAATAGCAAAACTCTCCAAATCCCCTCCACCCAAAAAAGATTCAAACCTTACATGGTGCTTTCCTGAATAAAAGCTCCAGAATCTATTTTCCAGGAATGTTTCCTGTGGCATGAAAGCAACTCAATCTCAAAAGACAACTTGCTCTTCTGATGTAGCCTAACCTACACAGCAGCACAGCCCCCCTTCTTCTCCCTGAGAAGGTTGGCTATGCTTTCTAGGTGTGGAACATTCACCAAGCTACACTAATAAGCCCAGAACACAACCTGGAAATAAAGCACCCACATAACTGCAAATCATAAGGGGATTCATGATAAGCTATGAATTGAAATGACATAGTGACTCTTGGGAGCCCAGGACAGTAACGTAGGATCCTCCTGAAGTTTGTAGGGGCAGGGAGGGTTAAAGCTATGCTTAGACAGGCCTAAGAATATGTACAGTAGGGGCAGGGAGGAAAGAACCACTGAAGTTCAGGGGGAAGCTCACATCCATTTTGGAAACAAGTAGCAGCTGCTGCTTGATGCGCAGGAAAACTGAATCGAAAGCCAGCTGGTGAGCTTGCTGGTTCAGGCGAGTCAGGGAAGCCCGGGAAGCAGCCAGCAGGTTGTGATTACTGGACCCTTTCTCCTAAGACAAAAAAAAAGCAAAAGACAAATTGTCAGGCCCTGAATCCAAGTGTCACAAGTCAAACACACTGAAAAATCACTGAGAGATAAATAGTGAAAAGAATTCTATATAATAGCACTTCCAAAACCAGGCTGTGCACCAGGGTGCTGAGAAGCAACTGAATGACAGATTCACTAGCTTCATTCAAGAATACTGAATCTGGGGGGCTGGGGATTTAGCTCAGTGGCATAAGCACCTCTTGCAAGCAGGTAGTTGTAAGGTTGATCCCTGGTACCAATAAAAAGATTAAAAAAAAAAAAAGAATACTGAATCTGAGCCCTGAACACTGACACAGATACACATGTTCATATATGCACATACTCACATAGACACCTTTTTTAAAAACCTTGCTGGGGATCCAACCTAAGGCCTCACATATGCTAGGCAATGCTCTACCACTGAGCCATAGCCCCAAGAATCTATATTTTTGTTTCCTGGGTGATTCTGATGCATTTGAGATAACATGAGCTCAGGGATTGGCAGTTTACAAAAATTTAACTGTGACTATTCCTCAGGGACAGGTGAGGAGAGAAAAAAAGATCAGAAGCATCCCATTAAAAGCAAGAATGTGGACAAAGCCCTGATTCCCAGAGAGGTCAGGTCAATTATACTCGGCTACAAGCCAGAGTATACAGACTGTGTGAGTCCCAAGGAGCTGCAAAAAAAAAAAAAAGCCTGAGAAAATACAGAGATGGAAAATGTAATCTTAGTTTTGCTATAATAAATGAACCGATTACAACAGACATAAATCAGATTAGCAATAAAGATTAACAGAGTTGCTTTAACTTAATCTCAGAAGCATGGATGAATGAGTTTACAGAATTGCTTTAAGAAATGCCTTTGTCGATATCAAATGCAGCCAGCTGGTGGGCCAAGAGTCAGAAAGTTAGGGAGACCCTGAGAGGCAACCTGGAGCCTCAGAGATGCCCAAGCTCTTGGGGCAGTTCACCAGAGCTCCAGGCTGGTCAGAACTGTAGACTGCATTTGCTGGTGTGGGAACAGCAATGTTTCTTCCAACAAAGGGTGAAACCAAATTAGGGCGGAGGGGAAAGGTTCCAGAACAGATGCCTATGGCCCTCTTACAACCCTGGGGGCCCTTCCCAGGGAGCTGTGTGACTCATTCCATTTGCTACGGATGTTTTCTGTACCTGGACCTCAAAGTCTCAAAGTTCAAAGTCAAGGGCACCTTTACGGGCAACAGACTTTAAAGAAAAAATCAGAGGTAATTATCCCCAAGTCTGCACATTTCCCTATGGGGGAGCCTGCATTGCAGTAGGTGCTGGGGCCTCTCCACCCTCTGCTAGGGAAGGAGTGACTTCTCCAGTGCTGAGGTAGAGTCCTCATTTATAGGTTCAGCCTGCCTGCAGGCAGTTATCTGTTTGGTAGTCTATGTGTAATTCAGTAAAAGGGAATTTTTGTGCCATAGGAGCCAAGGGCTCCCAGCTCACCCATCCTGTGTGCAAATTTAACTGTGGACTGATGTATAGCAAAGCCTTCTAACAGAGGTCTAAAGCCACGTTCTCCAACCTGGCTTTATCAGAATAAAGATCCATCTAACCAAGTCCTCCAGCTATATCCCAATGGTTTTAGTTTATTAGTTCTTCAAAAATCTCTACATAAACAAGAGAAGTAGCAGCAAGGTACACCATAGCCTAAGGCCAACACAGACCCAGCAGGCTTGGAACCTGGAGAGAGTGAATGACAAAGAAGAAGCTTTCATTTGCAAGAATGCCATCTCTTTGGCCTCATACCTTGAGGGTATAAAGTATTTCCAATAAACTGGCATATTCAGCGGGGTTATCTTTCTGGAGGTAATTATATTCCTGCCATGGATTCTTGGCAGAGCTCTTCTTGTCTGTCAAGATGCTCTCCTGAAAGCCAGCCAGGCTCCGAGGGCTGTAGGAGTCAGACAGGTACTTCCCAGCTGTGGACAAAATCCTGCAAGGAAAGTAATGACTATTATGCCCTGAGCTGTTTTGAATGGAGCTTTCTTCCTAAAGCAGCACATTTTAGGATAGCCTCATGAGGCAGACAGATATTCCTAAGGAAATGATAGTATCTTTTGTCATTTAGGAGGATTGGGCCTCAGTGTACAATGAAAACCAGATGTTTTTATTCTTATTTAACACTTACACCCCTAAAAGATGCCAGGTTACTACAGGACAGCCAGCTCATCCAGGGGTCTAGGACCATCTGGAGCACTGTGTACCATCTATGCAGACTTTCTGACCACATGAGCATCACCATGTAGAGCAGTCAGATGCCAGAGTAGGCCACTGGCACCACAGGTACAAAGATGCATGGCTAGCTGGTCCTCGGGGAAGATTCATGATGGCTCACCCTGTGCCTCTTTACCCATAGGATGTACCACACGACAGCCTGTTTGGTGCTACTATCCCTCAGCACTGAAAAGCTTATTGGTGTGTCACCGGTGCTACAGAAAGATCTACTGAAAGAAGCTATGCTTCCCCGTTTCTTCAAGAAGGAAAAACATCTAGTAAATAAGATAGATAACCATATTACTGAGTTTTGTTGGATCATTGAACAAAACTGTTTCCAGTCTCACTGTTTGAATGTCCACTTTACATGCTTGAATTTTGTAACTTGAACAACTATTTCTAAGATAACAATATGTAATCTATTAACTAGTGATTTCCTACTGTTTATGTTTTCTGAAATTCTGTATAACTTGTACCCTTTTTCTATTTTTTTTTTCTTTTTCTCCTTAAATAAAAAAAAATCTTAAAAAAAAAAAAAAAAGTTCCCTTCTAATCCACACTACACTACTTGGGTAGCTGATCCACTTTCAGGACAAAGAATGACCACTCTCTATTCAGAAAACCTTCCATTCTCTTCTCCCTGAGTGCCCTTTTTAACTTTCAGTCACCACACTTAAATATGCAAAGGATTATAGGAACAGAAGAGGCATTATAATGTTGGGGCACAATTATAGTGGAAAGGCACAATTATATGACTAGTAAAGACACAGTTATAGAATAACAAACTTACAGATACGTTATAGCAAGTTAAAATCAAACAGTAGCCTCTGCCTATGCTCCTGCTGCCTGTTGCGTAAACACCCTGCTGATTTCAGTCAGCCTTGACTATTCAGATCCAGCTGTTTTTCTTCTGATAATGTGCCGGGCCAGTGTGCCTATTCTCAGCTTACATTTTCCACAATTCTAGTTTCAAGGACCTTGGTTGGGGTGAAGTAACCCAGTCAAAAATACTTTTTAACTCTGCTTGCTCCATTTGAACCTCCTCCCTTTGTCCCCAGGATGTTCGTATGTTATGATAAACAATTCAAGTAAATGTTAAAATGACCTAACAATGTAGATAACAATCACGTAATAACCTGTGACCTGTCTTGTACTTCTTGTTTACAAACTGTATTTAAACCAGAACCTAAAACTGTCTCAGTGCTAGTGATTTGGACCTGGTCCTGCTAGCCCGCTGGCATTATGAGCAATAAACAAGTCGCCTTCTAGATTCTTCAGTGCAGTCTTCCATTCAGTTTGATATTGGTTTTTCTGTAATATTTTGGTGCTCCTTTGGCAGGGAAGACACTGCGCTGACCACCAGACCACTGGTGTAGGCCTGCTGCTTACTGCCTGGATTCATATCCTATCTGTAGATGACAAGGCATGCCCTCTGGACCTGTTTTCCCAGTCTCCTCAGCTGTTGAGAGAGGGAGCCCTTGCATGACAACGGAGACCTTATGGGACCCTGGGAGGAGTCAGAAAGCAACCAGGCCAGGCCCTTGGAAATGTAGGCATGACCTCGGTTGTGTCCCATGGTTAGCCTACTTAACTCCCTGTTAGCTGCTTGCTGCCACCCCCACTGCGGGCAAAAGAGGACCTGATCCTCAAGCCAGCCTCATCTGTTACCTGCTCTGGTTCCAGTTCCTGTTCAGCTGCAGCTTACTGTTCCAGTTAGACTTGCCCCCAGAACTGGGGGTGGGAATGTATTCCCACGGTTAGCCTGTTTATTTGTTCACTACGTGCTTGTTACCAACCCCAAATGTGGACAAAGGAAGACCTGATCATTCCTCAACATCTACGTCTGATACCTGCTCCAGATCCAGTTCTTGTTTCAGAGTAGTCAGCTGCAGCCGCTGTTCCAATCAGATTGGCCCATGGGCTCAGGGGTGGGAATGTACTAACTTCTGTGTGCCTACATGTGAAAGTGTGTATATATGTGTACAAAATAAAACATGTAAGTCCAAGGTCTTCTGAACTCAGCTGGGAAGTAAAAAAAACCAGTTCAATCAGTTTGAAAACAAAGTAATCAAAGGAATGCTTTTTCACAATAATGAGTAAAAACATGAAAAAGCTGCTTAGCATTAATACACCAGAATACACAGGTAGAGTGATGCAGAGAGGATGGAGATATCACATGGCAAGCACAGTCCCTGCCTTCCAAAGCTCTGAGATTAATGGAGTTCAACATGTGCCAACGTGCTGATCACTATGCCAGGAGAACGTGGGCAAGGTGCACTGAGGAAGGATGTTACAATTCCATCTGTTTCCTCAACTTGTTTCCTTTTTAAGACAAGTTATGACCCACTCCTCTGCCACAGAACTCGTACATTTATACTGGATTCTTCAAACTGTCTATTTGAACTGATCTACTCAGATCTTTTCCTGGTAAAAGATGCTCCTTGACTTATTTTTTTTTTTTCTTTTTATCGGTACCGGGGATCAAACTCATGACCGCCTGCTTGCAAGGCAGGTGCTTATGCGGCTGAGCTAAATCCCCAGCCCCGCTCCTTGACTTATAATGACAGAGACTTCATAAGATGAAGATATCATTATGTCCAAATGCACATGTGTGTATGGGAGTTGTGCCGCTGACTTCACTTATATTATTTACACACGATCCACTGTATGCCTGTGCTGCTTTAGTTTTAGTCACTCCAGGAAGTCACCTAACTTCTGTGCTGAGCTACTTGGGAGTTACAAAAAGTGATAGCTGCCCCTTCTCTCCCATGCTGCAAGACTTTGTCCACAATGATAATGAAAAGTCTTGGACCTAAAAGATAGTTCATGGCTTCAAGAATGAAGGAAGGCAAACAGCTGAGGCAAGACACAGTCAACAGAGAGTGCAGACTCTGAGCCAGCCTGGTCTTCTTCCCTACTAAAAACAATTCCATCCCTTAGAGATTACTTTAGAACAAAGAATCACCAAAGAAAAAGGTTAAAGGATCACTGCTAAATTGGGTGTGGTGGTGAGCTGAGCATGGTGGTGCATGCCTATAATCGCAGGACTTGGGCGGCTGAGGCAGGAGGACTACCAAGAGTTCAAGGCCAGCCTAAACTACACAGTGAGATCCTAGCTCAAAAAATAAATCAAAAACAAGCTAGGTATGACAGTATGCTCCTTGCAATAGCAGCACTCTGGGAGCCTGAAGCAAGAGCTAAGTTTGAGCTCAACCTGGGCAATTTAGCAACTTGGTGAGACACTGACTTGAAAATTTTGTAATTAATTTTGTTGGTACATTTTCATTTTTTTGAAATTTTATTGGTACATTTTAAATAACACTCATCATTGAAAATTAGTACCTGTACATGATATATCTTACTGCTTTTTTTCTCATTCCATTCTCTTCCTGTCAACTCCTCTTCCTCTCTTTATTTACAAAGTTTTGTTTTCATTATTTTCTTTCTATTCTTTTTTCTTGTCCCTTCCTTCCTTTGTCCTCTTTCCATCCTTGTTCCCCTTCTGAACATCTTCCTATTTCATAATGTACCTACTATACATTTTAGATCTTACTTTCAGTTTCTCACAGTAGAGAAACAATGTAGTATGTGTGTTTGATTTATTCCACATGAGAATATGGTCTCAAGGTTCATCTATTTAACTAAAAATGTCTCACACTTACTCCCCTTTACAGCAGAACAGTACTCCATTGTTACTAAAACTCATACTTTGGTGAGTCGGCACAAGCCATGTTGGGCCCAGAAGGAGAAACAAAGACAATTTGCCCTTCCCATGAGCCAGTGCAAGCTATGGAGGGCCCAGGAGGAGAAACAAGCCAATTCATCCTTCCTGTGAGTCAGCAGAAGCCATGCTGGGCCTGGGAGGAGTGATAAGAACAAGAAGCCAACCGGCACACAGGCTAGGAGACCAGAAGAGCCAAGCTCCCTATATCCCATCTCCACAAGCAACTGGCTGATTCAGAGGAATACAGTCTGAGTTGATAGCAACTGAGGTACAAAGACAACTTAATGCTTGTATTGTTTGATTGACTTTGCAGGCCTAAGGTTGGTAGTTTGAGCATCTATTAAGAGGATAACAAATATAGATACCATTGTTGCTCCCTGATTGATATAATTCTGTTGTAGCTTTTTTTCTTCTTTTTTTTCATCCTTAAATAAAATGGATTTGAAAAAGAAAAAAAAGGACAACAATATGCAACATACCAGGGCCAGGTGTGGTAGCACATCCCTGTAATCGCAGCACTATGAGGCTAAGGCAAGAGGATCATTGTGAGCTTGAGACTAGCTTGGGCTACAAAGTGACCTGAAGGCCAGGCTGAACTGCATAATAAGACCCTGTCTCAAAAAAAGGTAAAAAAGCACAAAAAGAAAAAAGCCCAGTAACTATGAAGAATTTTCTTCTCTCTTCTTTTTGAAATCCAATATGAGGGGACAAGGATTTAGCTCAGTGGCCTAAGTGCCTACTCTGCAAGTGTGTGGTCCTGAGTTCGATCCTCGGTACCAAAAGAAAAAAGAAAATCAAATAAAAGTGAAATCCTATATGATTGTCACTGTTTCATTTTCTTCCATTTTATTCTTTTATTCAATGTTCTGTTTTCCTTGGCTTTATTCTATTCTGTTTTGTTTGATTTTATTATATCTGGTGGTATGAGCAGCTATTTTAAAGATAACAAGAGGCATTACGGTAGCCATTGTTGACTTCCTATTTTCCTGTTTTGAAGTCCTGTATCATTTTCACTGTTTTATTTTGATTGACTTTATTCTGCTAGGTTTGATTTTATTTTCTTTAAAATAAAAAAAAGAGGGGCTAGGGATTTAGCTCAGCGGCATAAGCGCCTGCCTTGCAAGCAGGCAGTCGTGAGTTCAATCCCCGGTACCAATAAAAAGGAAAAAGACAAAAAAAAAAAGAAAAGAAAAAACTCACATCTTCTTCATTCATCAGTTGATGGGCAACTGGGTTATTTCCAATATTTAGCAATTACAAAAACATGGCATAAACATGGGTATGCATGTATCATTGCGATATGATGCTTTTAATTCTTTTAGGAAAATACCCAGAAGGGGAATAGCTGGATCAAATGGAACTCTAGTTTTTTGTTGTTTTTTTTTTTTTTTTTTTTTGAGGAATCTCCACACAGGTTTCCACAGTGGATGCATCAGTCTACACTCACACAAACAGTGGAGAAGGGTTCCTTTTCTCCACAGCCCCACCAGCATTTGTTATTGGTTGATTTCTTAATGATAGTCATTCTTTCTGGAGTGAGATGGAATCTTAGTGTTGTTTTAATTTGCATCTTTCAAATAACCAATGACCTTGAACATTTTTTCATATATTTACTTGCCATTTCTGCTTCTTCATATGAGAAGTACCTATTCATTTCAGATGTCCATTTTTGGATTAGGTCTTTAAATTTGGGGGGGGAACTAATCTTTTTTGAGTTCTTTATATAGATATTAGCCCTCTGTCCAAGGAACAGCTGGCACAAATATTTTCCTGCACTTTGGGTTGACTCTTCACTCTGTTGATGGTTTCTCTTGTTGTGCAAAAGCTTTGTAATAAGATGAGATCCCAGTTGTTGATTCTCTGTGATATTTCCTGTGCTACTGGAGTTTTGTTCATAAAGTCTTTGCCTACACCAATGTCTTCAAGAGTTTTATCTATCCTATCTTCTAGAAGATTTAATGTTTCTGCTTTACTATTTAGATCTCTGATTCATTTTGATTTTAGTTTTGTGCATGTTGAAATATCTGAGTCTAGTTTTAATCTTCAGCATGTGGAAAGTCAATTTTTCTAGTACCATTTATTAAAGAGACTTTCTTCCAGTGAACGTGTTTGGCCCCTTTGTCAAAGATGAGGTGGGTGAGTATGTTTGGATTGATTCTGCATCTTCTAATCTGTTCCACTGATCCTCCAGTCATTTTTCTAGTGCCATGCTATTTTTATCACAGTAGGTTTGTAGTATAATTTCAAGTCAGCAATTATGCTGCCCTCTGCCTTGCCTTTGTTGTGGTTCAAAATTTTTGAATAAAAAAATTTTTAGAAGACTGGGAATGTAATTCAATGCTGAATCCCTGGGTTCAAGTGCCAGTACACAACAGAAACAACAGACCACTGCCAATTCCTCAATTCCTAAGGAATAGATAGCTGTACTAAGGGAATGAAGGATTTTAGCTGAAAAAAGGAAATTTAGGAAAGAGTGTCCTCTGAAGGGTAAAACTGTCCAAATGAGGCCAAGTCAAGGCAACACAAAAACCCTAGCATATCAAAGGAAAGAAGAGGGATAGAACAAACTCTTCCTAGAGCAGTCCCAACATTCTTCTTTGATATACATACACCCCTCAGCAGCAAAGAACCCTGTTGCAGGACCAAGCAGGCAGGCTGTCTGGGTTAATTCCTATGCTGTGGGAAGGGCATTATACTGCTACTTCTACGGAGACATACATTCTGAGCTCAATAACTGATTTACAATCAGCAGGAGCTCAGCCCACTCATCATTTAGAACAATATGTCCTGTTTCCTCCTTTTGGCTGAGACCTCCATATCAAACCAAAATCATGAGACCACGTAGGATAGAGCCTTGCCCTTTTTAAAGACTCAATAAATGTTTAATGGTGACAATAATGACACTCTGTATCCAGGTACAGGTAGTCCTTGAGCCCTGTGACTTTCAGATTTGACCATCTGCTGCCCTTTCTGCAATGTATACTGAATTGTGTTCCTCCCAACCACGAAACCCAGGGACTAGAGGAACCCTGACCCTGGACTCCTACCTGTTTGCTAGTTGCTGCTCAAAGTCTCCACAGTGCCTCAAGAGCTCTCCACAGGTGGCTATTATCCTAAACAAAACAAAGAGCACTTCAAGTTCAAGTACCAAGAATGTCAACATTTACAGATCAACATTGTCTCATTGATAAAAATTCTAACTATGTGCTCCTTTTGGTGGCGCTGGGTTCTCGGAAAGCTGCTGACCACTTACCCGCCCAGCTGAAATGTTTTACCACAGTAATTAATAGGAAAGATCCTTTCCAATATCTTCTACGTCACTAGCATTTCTGCTGTGATTCATAATCCTACATATCACTACCTCAAATAATTTCACATCTCCAAAACACTGAGTTTTATCTTTGAGAAAATATGTTAGAAATACTTTGTATCTGAATTCTAAGGCCAACATTTATTATTTAATATTTGCTAGATGCCTACTTGTAAGGCATAAAAAACTGCTTTGATATGAGAAGTATATCTCTCCCTCCCATCACATGAAAGCCTCAATGATCATCACATTTACATTTAACAATTCTTTCATTTTCAAGTAATTTTATGCCAGGAGTCAAACTCCAGCTACTGGGTCCTTCAACACTAAACTCATAATGTTAGGATAAACCCAAGGATTAAAATATCTTAAGCCTAGTTAACTTTTAACTTTCTCTAAAAATGCCTATCATCACCTGGGTATCTAGGCATTCCATCATAAGAAAGGTTTATGAGAAAGTAAAATATTCCACTGACTCAGAAGCAGCGTAACAAACTTGTACAGAATATTTCCTGCCATGCCCAGTCACCACAGATGACAGATGATATGCTTAGGATTGAGAGCACTCAGTTTCTCTAGAAAATAAAAACCCAGCACAGGGTTCACAAGGTAGTAATCCAAAACAGGCCCGGGTGGCGCTGGGCTGACCCTGGCAGCCTCAGTGCTTGTACTTGCTTCACGGTGTCCCGCACTGAGAGCCACCTGTGCCGTAGGCACACAGGCCAGGGGCGCGCAAGAAATCTAGGTGGGTGGACAGCAGCTTGGCTCATTAGAACATATATGCCTGAGGAATGGTTTTAGAGAAATTCCTAAATTTCTTTTTATTTTGATCTAATAAGATAGTTGATAGGCCACTTGGGAGCAGGGGGGAACCACAGCACAACAAAGAACACATGCCAGTGTCACCAAATATAAAAAATAAAAGTCTCTAAATGGAGATGAGGCCTTCATGAAGAACTTTGTAACATATTTTATGAGTAGAGGGGCTTTTTTTGGTGTCTCACAATTATTGATGGTAGGTTTTTTGTTTGTTTATTGGCTTGTTTTTAGAGTCTAAAGCATTAGCTTTAAAAAAAAATGGCAGTGAAGGAGGAGAAAAATGAATGCCTTGAAAACACATCCATTATCTTTCCATTACGTTTACAATACTAGGTGTACTAGGGTTAAACTACAACCCCCACATTACCTAATGGAGTTCTGAAAAGCTGTCCAGTCTTCTTGAAAAAGAGAGTTGGGAGGAATATCATCCAGTTTGCACTTCTTTCGTATCGACTGGAGAGTGTTGGTGAAATCAGACACGTACCTAGGAGGAAAGGGAAAATATGATAGGTGTCATACAAATTCCTCCATCCTAAAGACACCTGGAATTTAAAAATTTAGACAATTTACTAATAACTTCGAGGATGTCTTTCTGGCCATGGGATGAGACCACTTATAAATCTCTGACCACAAAAACGTCTCTTTTATGAAGTATGATGACTGTCTTAGACACCTGCAGAGCAGCTTGAAGAGTTGCTTAAGATGAAGCAGAAAGAAACAGCCATGAAGACAACCCCACTCACCAGGTGACAAATGATTACCTCCTTATCCTAACAAATGCATTTTTTTTTTGGAAGTAGGTTTGAAGGACTTTTTAAAAACACATGGTCTCACTGTTAGTAATGGATTGTGACCTGGGACACCGTAAGGCAGTTTACTGACACCAAGATTGCTCTTGCAAACCAATCCCCTGAATTTTAGTCATGGCAGACAAATTAAAGCTCAAAGACAGAGAAGAACACAACTTTATCAGCACAAGAGCATAACAGAAGACCCTCACACTGCCTGCTTTTGCTGTCCGCACCTATTTTCTCCCATCTCACCTACCACACTGTGAGTAAAGCAGTTTAGTTGGTGTGTGTTTAATGTGTGCTGCTATGGTAGACCAGTAACTCTGTGAGAACAAGACCTGTGCCACTGTAGCTTACTGCTGTATCCCCAGGAAGAGCACATAAAGGAAATCATTCCTAGCAGACAACGAACTCGAATTGTAGCCGTGGGCAAGGGCTTCACCATTTCCGGCCTTGATACATTTTTGAAATGGATTTAATGAAATCTTCTGTGTGACTTCATAAAGTTGTTGAGGGGTCATAAAATTACCTACTTGAAAATTTCTTAGAACATGAAAAAGTCAGTGCATGTCCTTGGAAGGGTATGATGAGGAAGACAGAGTGGGTATCGTGTCCTTTCAAAGCTGAGAAAACGGGGCTGGGGATTTAGCTCAGCGGCATACGCACCTGCCTTGCAAGCAGGCAGTCGTGAGTTCAATCCCTGGTACTGATAAAAAAAAAAACGAAAAAGACAAAAAAAAAAAAAAAGCTGAGAAAACCTGCGACATCTGGGAGTATAACAACCTTTACTTCTCTCCCTTCCTACCCCCAAAGCTCCCAGTGGGGAAAGTACAACGTGATGACCCAGGGCCTAAAAAGTGTGTGTAGTGAAAAGAAAGGCCATTCAAAGGGCCAAATGGGAGAGATTTCCTCAGATCACTCCAGGAGCCACAAAACACACTATTGTGTCTTTTACTAAGCCTTTAAATAAAAGCCATACACCCAGAACCCCGACAGCACCTTCCCTTCCCCAGGAGAGAGGTGATAGCTTTCCTGGGGCATCAGTTGTTTGGGGGAAAGTAGGGAAGACCCAAGGACAGATTGGCAAGGCAATGGTAAGGAACATAATTCGCTTTAACTGTGCAGGGTTAAACAACTGTGTCATCAACTGTGCAGTAAAACAAGTATGCATAAGAAGAATATGCCATCCATCAACTCCACACTCTATAGGAGCTTCCAGGACAGAGGCTGCTGTGAGCGTGAGCAGGTGGGGTATTTCATTATCCTTTAGCCCAGAATTCAAAATGAGTTTATCATGAAATCTCAGATAAAAGTGTAGCTCTTATCACACTATTTTATCTTTAAGCCTTCTAATTCTGTCTCATTTCCAAGCATCAACCATATGAGTCGCTGTGTTACAGACTTTAATCACATGCTTTCACTTAATGTTCACAACCACCATGTAAAGGAGACATTATCATCATCAATGACTCCAAGGAGCAGTGACCTGCCCAAGACCTTGACTAGTAAGTGCCAGGGTCGGGCCCTGATCCCAGGCTAGTCCAACTCCAGACTCTATGTGTCCACCAGAGCTGTAAACCTCTGACTCTGCATCCACCCTCTCAGCTGGTTTCTCTATCATTTCCCCCAGATTTCACTCAGGCCAATCTGCTCCACCCTCTCTACCTGTCTTTCTTAGTGAAGCCCTCCACAACACTGAATGGTGGTTCAACCTAATTTCCCTGACTAATTTTATAAACATGAGCTATTTTGCTAACTTCCAAATCTTCCCTTCAAAAGTTGACCTGATTTCTAATGTATAGTTTGAATTTTTAATGTGGATCTGTGTTATTTTTAAAACAAGGCAATCAAAATAATAGACAAAAGAACTAATGGTAGAAGTCTAATAAAGAGATTTAGAAAGGAACAGTCCTAAGAAGGCTCAAAGCCAGGGATCCCTATAATTCTAGAACTCTGAGAGGCAAAGGCAGGAGGATCATGAATTCAAATCCAGCCCGAGCAACTTAAGATAATTAGTGAAACACACCATTTCATGGTTTATGTCTGTGGCCCCCAGGCCTCATGAGTTTGCATTGTTCATTTGTGATGGTTCACTGTATAGTGCTTGGATTGATGGTGTCAGTGCTCCACCCACATAGGGGTGGAGCCAGGATGTGATGTAATGGCAGGAAGAAGGTGTGTCTTGTTTTTTGCTGGTTCCTGTTTGTTGTTGGCGGCTGCCATGAATCGCGGCCCAGCCATGCCCACCTGTCTTAAAGCCAACTGAGTGTGGACTGAAACCTCCAAAAACTATAATTAATAAACCTTTCCTTTCCCTAATTTGGGCTTCAGGTATTTTGTCTCAGCAATGAGCAAAAAGTAACTAAGACATACCATAAAAAATAAAAAGGACTGGGGGTTGAAAAAGATGGCGGATAGATAACAGCAGCTACAGAGGCTCTCTGAGATAGCCAACTTAGATTCCAAAAATAATACAGCATGGGGAGCCACAAACAGAGGAAGATAAACCCTGCCAACCCAGGAATGAGCTAAGCTGAGAGAAACCAATTAAAAATACAGTCCCGGTGCTATGATTGGAACAGCTAAAGTTTCGGTGCTGCCACTTGAACTCACAGCTTGAATACCCTGCCGCTGCTGCACCTGAGTTGGTGCAGCCAGGATAGCCCGCTAGTTTCAACTCATGGGAGACGAGTGGGAATCAGTGAACCAAATTGAGAGCAGAGCTGGTGGGGAACCCTGCATTGACCTGTGGTGAATGAGGGGAATAAAAACCCTTCCATAGACAAAGAGGCTCCAGCAGATGACATTCTGGGACCAGGCAGACTGGTCGGAACAGGGTGCTGCAGATTCCCCTCTCAAGCAGCACTGGTGGGGAGCACTTGACTTGGGTGACATCACAGACTGAGGCCAAATAGGCTAGCCCTAACCAAGTCCCTATGCCTGACAGTGCACCCTAACTCCGTGAAGCCTTCAGTAGGTTGACCTGGAGGGGTGGGCCCAACATAGGCTGCGTGGGTCTGTACCTCCTAGAACACTGCAGTGGGCGGGACCACCTGGTCAGTGGGCTTCAGACAAACTGAAACTGGCAAAGAAAGAAACTGGGCCTCCTATATACGCCTATATGGAAGGAACAAAAAATATGAGAAGAGGAGGCACCAAGAAAGGGTCCTCAGTCCCCAATCCTGAAAACACTGATCCAGAAAAAGTAAATGCAAAGGAGAATGAGGACAGAAAACATGCAATATCAGGCACGGCACCAACAGATATAAAGCATTGTCTCCAGGACCTCATAGACGAGTTCAAAAGTGAAGTATTTAACCAAGTACAGCTAGATATAAATAGAATAATTAAAGAAATGCTAAGCACCTCCAAAGAAAAAACAGATTGTAGAATGGAAGAACAAAAAAAGGGGATAATTGTTTGATGGAGAAAATAGAGAAAACATAGAATACATGAAGCAGGTTCAAAGACATTCCCAGGAAACTAAAAACTCTATTGAAAGCTGGCATAATAGCTTGAAAGAAACTAAGGATAGATTATCCGAACTGGAGGGCAGGTTTGTAATGTGAGAACATGAAAGAAAAAACACCTTAAAAATAACAAGAAAACAAGCAGTAACAATACAAAGGCTAGAAGATGACAAGAGGATCTATAACTTAAGAATAAAGAATGTGAATGAAGAAGCAGGAGTACAAACAATCCAACTCTACAGAGAATACTACAGGACATTCTAAAGAGAGAGAAAAGCACAAGGATTTCAGGAACAGTGGCAGAGAGGTCCCAACGAACGGAACAAAAAGCGAAATGAAGAAGACAGATAACTAATGACGGAAAAAGAGCACAACAGGATCTCAGGGCATAGACAGCTGTCCTGAAGATACCAGGACATAGCACAGTGGTCATCTTTAATTTCCTATTAACTCAATCAGGATCCCTGTATGACTTACACTGTTGTATCATAACTGATCTTATTAAATCTGACTTGTTTGATTGCTGCTTATTATTGACAGATTTTATTCAATACAGATAGGTTGCTGGTATCAAGTTGAGGAGTATAGACAACTATATTGAAAATGACAATGATTCACCACAATATCCATTCTGATTTGATTACTACCTGTTTTTGTAGCCCTATACTATCTACAAAGTTGTATTTCTATTAATTCTATTATGTACTGATATATTCAATTACACTTTATCTGATGATATAGCCAATTCTGTTGATGATAACAAGAAACAGCACAGTGATCATGGTAGAACTCCTTATATAGCAGTTTTATATGTCTTTTTAGTTTTATGTGACTATAGGAATATGTTTAGTTCTGTCCTGCTTTGTTCTGTTTCTCCCTCTTATACATAAAGGGTAGAAATACATGTTAAGACTCATGCTTGCGTAAAACCTATAAACAGTTTATGAGAACTGATCTTATGACACATGATGAAATGAACAAATACTTTGAAGGAAAGAAAGAGGCACTACAGTACCCAGAGCTGATTCCAGAGTGTTATGATGTGAAATCCAGCAATATTATTAATCTTTGTTCAGAATGATTTTAATCTAATAAATTTTGTTAGGTCTCAACATAAATGAAGATATGGATAAATGTGTACATGTCTAAGTGTATAGGATTGATAGCCATATTACTTAAGTTTTTGTTGGATAGTTGAACAGAACTGTTTGTAGTCTCCCTGGTTGAATTCCTATTTATATGTTCCACTTTGGTATTTTGAACACCAATTTGTGGGGGGACAATATGTATACATCAACTAGTGATTTATTAGTTTATTTCTTTTCTTTGAAAATATGTACTATTTCTACCTGTTTTCTGTTTTGTTTTGTCATTCTTTAAATAAAAATAAATAAATAAAAAGGTCTGAAGATGTTTAGTAACACCCTGGGTTTGATCTCTGTACTGAAACTAAAAAAGAAAGTTCAAGACCTCACCTTTCATAGTTAAGAGCTGAGAGGCAATAAAGTTGGTAAACAAACAGAAATCTTTCTAAGAGTTTAGGAAGAAGAACTACCAGAACTAAAATTTAGCAAAATGCTGAAAACTTATTACTTTTGAGAAGACTAAAAATTGATAGCAAAGGAGGAAGCCTCAAAGTTTTTAATATCTTTTTCACATGAAGGGATTATTTCTAAAAGCATTATTTCTGGTATTTTATAATAAAATTTCTAGATCTCAAGAAAAAAATGGCTTTCATTCAAAAAATGTTGATGGAAAAGAAAGGAGATGAAACTTGATCTGATTAGGCTTACTGCTGATGCTTCTCTTTCTACAGAAACATACCTGAGCTTACTGGCTCATTCCTCCAGTCCTTAATACTGCTCCTACCCAGCAGCCCAGGTTTGAAGGCCACAGACATGCTGGAGAGCTGTGGGCCCAACAACCCTTATAGGTTACAGAGGTGAGCTGGTATTTCTGGAATGACAAGCACTCCCTAAATTTCCTACAGCAAAACAGCATCAGTTCAATAAGAGAGTTCTTGAGACATAACTCCAATTTGGAACAACTCCCAGAGGGAGGCCCCTTGGAGAGTGTAAGAGTGCACTTGTCTATAAGCTAGAAACTGGAACACTGGAACACACAACCTCCTGAGACTCTCACACTTCAGTTATGTAAGTCAGAGAAGCCAGTCATACACCATTTTTGTTCTTTTGACAAAACATATTTTAACTTTCCCTTTCTTTTCTTTTTCTTTCTTTTCTGTAACAGTATGTATGAATGTATTCATTTGGCCCTAGGGATTGAACCCAGAACCTCATGCATGCTAAGCACACATTCTAACACTAGGCTATACTCCTGAGTCCTACACTAATGGCTTTATCATGATATACTGTAATTCATGCACCACACAATGTACCTATTTTAAAGAATGTAGCTCGAGAGTTTTTAGAATATTCCCAGAATTGTATAACCATCATCATAACTAGAACATTTTCAGCATCCCAAGAAGACTCCTCTAAGTCTTCCTTCTCCTCTAAATTCCTCTGCCACCAGGCAAACACAAAGCTTTTCTTCTCCCATCTATAGATGTCCCAGTTCTGGATACTTCATATAGATGAAATGATATAAAATGGTCTTTAACATTTGGCTTCTTTTACTTAGCATGATGTTTACATTTCTTTTTACTTCATATTTTAATAACACAAGAAATACAAATTTGTACTTACTGACTTAAAAAATCAAAAATAAAGAAAGTTGCTGGAGGAGTAGTTCAGTGGTAGGCATTTCCCTGGTATGGACAAGTCCCTGAGTTCAATCACCAGGACTGCCAAAAAAAAAAAAAAGAAGAAGAAGAAAGAAAGAAAGCTTCCCTATGACCACCATTCATCTTTTTCCATTTCTCTAAAGATAACTACTGCTGTGAATGCATTGCCTAACCAAAGGCTCAACAAATGTTTTTCTGTTAAAGTCCAGACAGTAAATATTTTTGAATTTCAAGTCTGCTCTATCTTCATGAAGAGGAGGGATTCAAAGAACACAGCTGAGTGAATGAGTATGGCCGTGTTCTAATAAACTTTATTTATAAAAATAGATTGCGGATAGGCATGATGGTACGTACTGTAATTCCAAAACTCTGGGAGGCTGCAACAAGAGGATCACAAGTTTGAGCCCAACCTGCCTATGCAACATAGCAGCTTAGTGAGATCCTGTCTCAAAAAATGTTTGGGGACGTAGCTTGTATAAAGGCCATGGGGTTCAAAATGAAAAAAATAAAAAACAGATAGCAGGTCAGATGTAACCTATGAACTATAATTTGCCAGCAACTATTATTTTAAAGCATTTAAAAGCAAAAAAAAATCTGCAACAGAGCCACATTCCTGGTTTTTTAATTTTGTTGAAAAATAATCACACCCATTCATTTATACACTGTCTATGGCTATTTTTGTATTATAGAGGTCTCTATTAGAGCGTACATCCACAGAGTCTAAAATTCTCTCTAGCCTTTTGCAGAAAAAGTTTGCTGAACTCTGCTATAGAAAATATACTGCAGGGCTGGGGATTTAGCTCAGCGGCATAAGCGCCTGCCTTGCAAGCAGGTAGTCATGAGTTCGATCCCCGGTACCGATAAAAAGGAAAAAAAAAAAAAAAAAAAAAAGAAAATATACTGCAATTTTTGTACATTCTTTCTATATAATCTTATATTGCAATGTGCTTTTTTTCCTACTTGACCATGTTTTTCTGATCTAACTATGTTCATATGTGTAGATCTAATTAATGCTTTGATATCTTTTTTCTTTTATCGGTGCCAGGAATCGAACTTATGACTGCCTACTTGCAAGGCAGGTACTTATGCCACTGAGCTAAATCCCCAGCCCCCCTAATTAATGCTTTGAAACACATGATCTCTTCCTATGAATTTATCATGTTATTTAGCCACTGTCTAGTGGATAGACATGTGGGTTGCTTCAAATGTTCCAGTTTTGCAAGGTTCACTGCATAAACATCTAAAAAGCACACTTTTGGGCTCAGGTGTGCTTCTCAAGAGTTCACAGCAGGAACGCAGAGGACTCGTATTTTTTCTGGGACAGATGCAGCTCTCCAATGTGGGTGGCCCTTCTCCCACTTCCCGAGGCTTACTTGGCAAAGATAGACTTCAGGGCTGTCAGCAGGCCACAGGTCCCCAGGCCGTTGGTGAATCTGGCACATCTGTCAACAGCTGCAGATGCCAGGCCAAAGAGCTTGCTCACAGAGTGGCTCAGCTCCTGCACACAGTCGATCACTTCACCGTGCTCCTGGCGGCAGAGGCAAACAAGCAAAAGCCATGTCGGACTCCAGAACCCTGGAGAGATAACATTAAGATCGGGAAACCTCCGAGCCCTCTAGTCTGTGGTAAAACCACTGAATGAGATATTAGAAACACTGTCCCCAGCTGTAACAGTTCTTCTAGAGCCCAAGCTGAAAGAGGACACCTACGTGGTCAGTGACACCACGGAAATTAATTCTTGACAGAAAAGTAGGACCCAAGTCTAGTTCATCCTTCTATTTTTCACTTCTTTCCTCTTACTCTGATTAATAAGATTACTTTGCCCTCTAGCTCTTGAGGTAGAATTCGAATTCCCCACATCATTCACTCCCAAAGAATGCAGTGGGAAAGAAATGCTTCTTTCAGGGGAAGAATGCAACTGAAGTAGAACAGACTTTGTGGGTACATCCCTAGAAAATGTGAAAATGGTCAGAGGCAGCAGGTTTCAACCACAGCAACAGTTCTTACATGTCAACTCATTTCATGCTAGAAGCCTTAAACGACTTGAAAACAAAATACTATTTGAAACAGATCTTCCTGGTACCCACACAGCATAACCCATGGATGCCATGTTCCTATGCCTATTCCCGTATCTTCCTTAAACAAAAGATCACCTAATAAGAAATTACTAAATCAAAGAGGCAACTTATTGTGCCTAAGTTTAAGGATTTTATTTTGCTGGATTTTTATTGAGGATTTTAAATAGAAACTAAGTAGCATATTTGTTGTGTCATCTTACATTTGGATTGCAAGACCCAATGAGGCATTTAAGGTCCTCCCTCTCCTTTTTGTTTTGTTTGTTTGCCTGTTTTTTGGTACACTTGATCCTAGTCCCCAACCCCTGCCAGAGTTGGCCAAGGACCTGGCACACAGGCTTCCTAAGTTGGTCATGGCAGTACTGTGACATTACCAAAGGCACAGCGCTGATCTGGATGAGAAGGTTGCTCTCCTCCATATCACCATATTTCAGCTGGTAGGGTTTATAAGGACTATACACGGCATCCACCAGTTCCACAACTTTCACCATGTTGTGCTCATCTGTAAGGAATCAGAAATTTAAAACAACAGTGAACAAAGAATCTGAAATTGGTTGCTAGAATGCAATTGGCATGAGGAACTCTACCAGAATTTTTCCAAGGGTGATTACACTTGTTTAATCCACCTTTATCATATGTGGAAGCTCTTCAACCATCACTTCAGTAAACATCTGAATAAACTCAGGCTTTGTGCACTGTTAGCTTAAAGTACTATTATAGACACCAGCCTCCTCGACCCCACCATTCCATCACAGTTAAGAATCTCTTCAAATGAAAGCACCTGCCTTGCAAGCAGGTGGTTGTGAGTTCGATCCCCAGTACTGATAAAAATGAAAAAGACAACAAAAAAAAAAGAATCTCTTCAAATGAAACCTCTTGCCAGGGTCACGTTGAAAAAGTAGTATTAAACAGAAAAGGCTCTCTAGAAGGAACATTTTCCATTCCAAGTATACCACAGACTTGAAAAAACAAGATTGCCCATACATTGGGATTCCAAAAATGTCTGTTCAGTTACACACCAGTTTAAAACACGTTTGCAGCCAAAATGTAAATGCCCATATTCCACGGCACTGCAATCCAACATAAAAGAATTATCTCAAAGAAATCAATAAATATGCAGTGTACACTGAAGGATGTTCACAGAATCACTGTCAGGATCAGAGTTTTGAAAATCTGAACAGGGTACGGGTAAATATAACAGTCTAGCCAATTTCCTTACATCCTTCTGCTTCTCTCCAATCTCCTCTACATTCAAGACAGAAAACTATTCCCCAACAGAAACCTGGTCACGTAACTACCAGGGACTTCCCAAAATCTTTTCTAGAGCCTGCGCAGCCCTGTGTTGCTTCACCTCAGCACGTATAAGATGGTGGCAATCAAGAGGAAGGCTGGGCTGAGGGTGGAGCTCAGGGGTTGAGAGCGTGCCTAGCATCCGAGAGGCCCTCGGTTCCATCCCCAGCACCACAGAAGAAGAAAGGCCCCAGGTACAGGACTAGACCAAAGGACTTAACTTTTCTATCCCTCTTCTTCAGAAATAAAATAAGGATGACAACGGCAACAATGTTATAAGACTTTCATGAAGACCAGGTAAAATAACATTCACCTAGCAAGTGATAAGTGCTCAGTAAACACGAGTAATTTTTATTACTGCTTTTTCAGTCTTGTTTTCCTTCATTCTTTGCCAAGTCTCAAGTCATATCTCAGTTCCAGAAAGCACCCTGCTCTCTCTTCTGGTCCCACATTGATCCCTCCATCAGAACTGACCTTCCTCTCTCTCCTGCCCCTCTTCCTCCTTCAATACTCATCATGACTCCACCACACTCAATTATCTTTGTATATACAGGCTTAGAACCAGTTGCTTTTCTTCAAATTATTTGTCTGACTTTGTAATTATATGTTCACTAGTGTGACTGTTTAACTCCCATTGGAACAGCCATTCTAGGAGAGCAGGAACCATCTTTTTATGTTCAGCACTGCACCTTCAATAGCCCAAATACTAGTACTAGTCCATTTGTGCTTGAATGAATAAAACAGATATATTTTGACCTATCCAGAACGCAGTCATAAAAAATAATAGCACATACGCACACGTGCACACAAACACATACACACACACACACAGAGGAGGGAACCAGGATTCTCAGTGCAGGACACAGATGATCCAAATAAGTGTAAAAGAAGTAAAAATCTTATAGTTCTGGATTTAACTGGAAAGCATCAGTGTAAACTGTCCAATTTTTTAAAAATGAGTGTGCCCACCAAAACAGCCTAGAAGTAATAATGCAATAATGAGCAATAATGAGCTCAGCAATAATGAGCGCCCTTGGTGCCCAGATCTTGGTTTCTACACATCATTTTCCACTAGAAGAAACCAATCTTATTGGGAAATGCTGACCCTAGGACTGAGCAAAAGAAGTTACAAGGTACTCTTAGAATATTGTGTGACAAAAAGCAAGGAACAACTCAATTTTTTTTTTTTGTCTTTTTCATTTTTATCGATACCGGGGATCGAACTCACAACGGCCTGCTTACAAGGCAGGTGCCTATGCCGCTGAGCTAAATCCCCAGCCCCAAGGCACAACTCAAAAACAGACAGGTACAAAAAGATATGAGAGAGAGCTTGAAGGAGCAATCACAGCCAAAATCTGAAATAATTTGGACATCAGAATGAATGGTATCCCAGCACTTGGGAGGCTGAGGCAAGAAGACTGCTATAAGTTTGAGGCCAGCCTGAACTGCATAATGGTACTCTGCCTCAAAAAGACAAAAAGGGTGCCATGCGTAAGCCACAGGGAGGAGAATAAGAAGTCAGCCACTTTCTGTTGAGTTGGCACCACGCACAGACCACAGAGAAGAGGAACTAAATGCTAGCCCTTTCCTGTAAGTTGGCACCATTCGTGGGTCATGGGAAAGAGAACAAGAAGCCAGCCACTTCCTCTGATAAAGTGCCATGTGTGGGCCACAGGGAAGACAACCAGACACCAAACCCACTCAGTGCATGGGCTAGGAGGCAAGAAGAGCCAAGGTCCTCCTCCCTTTTCCCAGCCAGTAGTGACAGGCTGGTACAGAGAAACAGAGGCTGAGATGATAGCTACTGAAGTAAAATATAACTTAACGCTTGTAGTATTTAGTGTTTCACTGACTTTGCAGGCCTAAAGCTGGTAGTCTAATCATCTATTCAGAGGATAACAATACACAATGCAGCATCTATGGGATCTCCTTCTAAAGGTGGTAGCCATTGTTAATTCTCTGTTATCTTGTTTTAAGATCTGTATCATCTTCATTATTTTGTTTGGTTTGGTTTTATTCTGTTTTGTCTTGTTTGATTTTATGATACCTGATGGCATGGGCAGCTATTTCAAAGATAACAAGATCTATTATGGTAGCTATTTTGGATTTACTATTATCTTGTTTTGAAGTCCTTTATTGTTTCCATTGTTCTATTTTTATTGGTTCTATATTCTTTTCTGTTTTGTTTGATTTTCCTGTGTCTGATGGTGTGGGTAGCTATTCTGAAGACAACAAGAGGTATTATGGTAGTCTCTGTTGATTTCCTATTATCTTGAGATCCTGTGTTCTTATAGCTTGTTTTTATTGGCTTTATTCTGCATGATTGTATCTTCTTTAAAATAAAAAGAAATTTTAAAGACAAAAAAAATGAAAAACTGGTAAACTAAGCAAGTGATGCATCATGCCTGTAATCCCAAAATTTAGAGAGCTTGAACAGGAGGATCATTACTATAAGCCCAGCTGGGCAACTGTGTAAGACAAACAAACAAAAAAAAGACAGCTGGGGATGTTGTTTATTACAAGGACCTGGACAATAAAAAACAAAAATAAAAAAATGGTAACAATGAATCATAACACAATGAATAATTTTTAAAGAATCAATGAATTCATAGTAATACTAAAGAAGTAGAAAGAAAGATTTTTTTTTTTTTGTCTTTTTCCTTTTTATTGGTACCAGGGATCTAACTCACGACTGCTTGCTTGCAAGGCAGGCGATTATGCCGCTGAGCTAAATCCCCAGCCCCGAGAGATATTTTCTTTACAAAAGAATGCTAGAATTGAAAATCATCATTTTATAATCAGCATTGTAAGTTTACTCAAGCAAGGATTATCAATGGATGCTAAAATCATTGGGTATATGTTTCTTGGGGAATGGTATATTCCAGAGTTCATAGCATCATCCCACAGAATATTTAATAGAGAGTTCTGGCAGATACACTTACCAAATGATTAACCTATCATGTTACCAACAATTAGATATTCTGTGTCTTCTTACATGATGCAATGGGAAGTATGCATCAATATCAATGCAATATTTCTGCCAAAAATGCTTGCTATAAATCTAACAATAAGGAAAGAACTGGGCAATTCCAGAAAGTGGGAATTTCCACAAGAATAGCTACTCATCTTCTTAAAAAATATCAGTGTCAGGGGCTGGGGATTTAGCTCAGTGGCATAAGCACCTGCCTTACAAGCATGCAATTCTGAGTTCGATCCCTGGTATCAAAAAAAAAAGTCAGTGTCATGAAAGACAAAACATAGGTGAAGTGACTTTTAGATTAAAAGAGATAGAATAATTCAATGCAAGGTATGAATCACAGCTGAAGGCAGAGGTCATCAGCAGTTAGAGACCTATGGAGCCAGATGTGGGGTGCACATCAGTAACTCCTACACTCCAGGAGATCACAAGTTTGAGCTCAGCCTGGGCTACACAGTGACTTAGTAAGATCCTGTCTAAAAATAAAAAATTAGAAAAGGTCTGGAGGGGCTGGGGGTTTAGCTCAGCGGCATAAGCACCTGCCTTGCAAGCAGGCGGTCGTGAGTTTGATCCCCGGTACCGATAAAAATGAAAAAGACAAAAAAAAAAAAAAGAAAAGAAAAGGTCTGGAACAGGACTCAGTGCAAAGGCTCTAGGTTCAATCCTCAGTACCATAGGAAAGAAAAAAAAGATATCTGTGGAACCAGAATATCTTAATAGAGATTACAAGATACGACAATATGGAATCAGCATAGCTTCTTGAGTGTGATAATGATAACAAAATACCTTACCACAAACACATTTAAGTACACACACATTCATATACAAAATCTGCACATACAATCAAAATGCTGTTTCTAGATAGCAAATTTAAGATTTTTTTGCCTGCCTTTCATGTTCAGTAAGTTGTATAATAAATATGCATTGCCCATTAATTATAAAATCAACCTAGGGGGCTGGGGATTTACCTCAGCAGCATAAGCATCTGCCTTGCAAACATGCAGTCATGAGTTCAATCCCCGGTACCAAAGGAAAAAAAAGTCTAAAATCAATGTAAATTATTTTTAAATTTCACTTTCTATTGTAAAATTTTTACACATTTTAAATTATAACATGTACATATATTAACTATTAAAATAACAGAAAAAACGCTTTTTGGCCTTTTTTCTTTGTTGAGGACAGGGTGTCACGGTTTATGTTAGTGACCCCCAGGCCTCATGCATTTGAATTGTGCG